TTGCACGTTTTTACAATCCACGATTACAGATCGCGGATTTTTCACTATCATCTCATTGCGCATAATTCACCGTGTATATCCTAATAACTTTTCCACGTTTCATTTTAATGTATTATATACACTTCATGTAGTTACTTACATAAAACTCATTAGTTTGTATGCAGAGAAGTATTTATATTGAGGTGTCTGTAAGGTTGAAGTAAGAAAGGGGTTTTGTTTCGAGAGATAATCACATATAGTTTGGATGACACTACTTTCACCGGACATGCATGTTCATCACGCATAGAGTAACATATCCATATCGCCATTGCATTTTTGAGTAGATTAAATTAAAGTGAATCGAATTTAAAATGATTATATTATTATTAAATGGTATTACATTAATATGCAATAATATCAGTTAATATTATAATAATATTAATGTGAAATATGAGTGAACATGAGAAAAAAAATGTAGAAATGTGCCATTTCATATTTTACATTTTATATGGCATCGTTCGTCTTTTCCAGAAAATATCTTTAATTTTTTGATGACTAAGATGAGAGAAGAAATATTGGAGTTATTAAATATGTACGATTCTTTGTGAGCACATTTAAACGATTCACTTTTATTTGATCATACTCTTAAAAGTATTTTACACAAGTGCATGTTGTGGAGACATATAGTACGAGCTATATATTTTAGTGATTAATAATTCGAACGTTAGAAAAATAATTAGTCCTTTCTAATAGTTATAATCTAAATAGCATTGAAGTAGAAAATAAAGAAAAATTTTCTGTAAGATTATTACAAAAAAGAAAAAAAAAATATGATTACACGCGATCCGTAAGATGTTTGATTTACAGCCCAGAGCAAGTTTATCATTTTCTACGAGCCAAGTTAATCATCGTAAAAATCCGTTCATACTCCACTCGTAACATACCGTTCGAGCATCATGCATCGACCCTCAAATCCTGTTTTATTATCACCACTATATCGATGTCAATTCGATTTCTTTTCGAGAACGTCTGCGAATGTTATTACCCCATTGTGCAATATCATCTATATTACATATAAAAGAAAAAATCATTGTGTGAGCGTGTCGAAATATGTGTCTGTATCTCTGTATGTGCGAAGGACGAAGAAAAGAAAATTTGATTTCGATCGATTTTCTTCGACTTTCGCAGCAGAGAGAGAGAGAGAGAGAGAGAGAGAGAGAGAGAGAGAGAGAGAGAGAGCTCGCGAACGTTCATAAAAAGAGAAAAGAAAGAAAAAACAAAATAGAGAAGGAGTACTCTCGCAATCATGCAGGATAATATGGAAAAATGGCGTATGGATATGTCAGGTTGTAACAACCCTGGGACCAGCGAAGCCACAGCGTTTGGCATCTGGACATGCTTCGTCCGCTGAACCATCGGAAGTTCGAGAAGTTATGGAGGTCCAGGAGCTAGAGATCGAGCAAGAAATGAGGGCTCTTCTCTCACCTTCTACTCCAGTCAAGTGCCAGAGCAATAATCTAGCAGGGACACCACCTCACAAGCTTTGCCTCGAGACGAGCTTTACATCATTGCAGAGTCCGACGGAATTCCCGCAGGCTGGTCGAGAACTCAGCGTTGACTCCAGAGGAATACCATGGGAATACGTTAGCTTGGCCAGCGACTTGCTCAACACACCACGACCAGATGACAGTAAATTGTAAGGACCCAACAGAAAGTCCCTATCTCGAGTGATTTCGAACGAGAAACTTTCGATGGATCTACTCTCTACTCTAGGATATTATTCTAATTCGCGTACCATTTCTAATTTCTTCTATCGAAAAACTTTCATTTAACTTCGATTAAATAAGATGTAGTTTTCGATTTATTAGTGATATCCCTCTGAACAGGTACGATAATCGATGAATTGAATTATAAACGTGACGAAAACTATTATACACACGATTCAAGGATAATTCATCTCTCACGCTTTTTTGTATTTCATTGAACGCGCTTATCTCACTTCATTTAAACACGCGACATATATACATTATCACTGCTTTTTAATATACTCGAAGCACTTGAATAAATCACAGCACCATTTGATCATTAAGGATTATTTGCAATTCGTAATGGGATAGACGATGATTAAGAACGATCGTGGGTTAAAGGGAAATTTTCTTTCATGGTTTCTTTTTTTCTTTTTTTTTTCTTCTTTTATACTTTCTTCATCATTCATTTTATTCGAAGGGAAAATGCTTCTCGTTTAGATCGAATCGTAAAATAATTATCCTCTCTTTCATTTTTCCGTCATTCATCTTTTTTACTCTTTCATTCGTAAAGATTAAATCGTCGTGGAGATTGGGAAGATGTCTCTCGTACTGCACCCCTTGCCACCCCCGAAACATTGTCAGAGACATCAAGTAATCCACCCTCGCCAATACCACCGCCAAGACCAATGAGACGCACACCAAAGATTCCGGGAAACTTGTCAACGGCGGCGGACGACCTCAAAAACAATCTCCACTTTGCTATGCTCTCGGCGAAGAATTACTTTCTGAGGGAGGAGAATATTGGAAGTAATAGCAGTAGTGGTAATAGCGAGGCAAGCTACGAAAGTGCCAAGAGTTTGACAGCTGATCTTCCGCCGCCTGTACCAAGAAGAAGGGATTCGATTATCGTTAGAAGGTCCTTTTTAAGAAACAAAGAATCTTTTTCGCATTGATTTAATAAATTTGTTCTGATAAGATCTTCAAATAATTCATTGTAACTCTTTGTTTTTTTTTTCTTTTTCTTTTTTTTTCTAGAGAACAAAGGGTATGCACGGCTGCATGTTGTAGAGACGATCTATCGGAAAATTCGTCCACTCATGCATCCTCTCATTCCTCCAGAATTTCACGTACGTCTCATCATGTACAAGTAGATTTTCCTGAAGGAGATAACGAGACGAACGGATCTAGTTTAGATTTCTTCGAGGCTAAGGTATCAAGAGTAAAATTCCCCAGTCAATCTTATTTGCATAAAATAAGATCTCCTTGCTTAAATCTTTTTGAATCTAATTTGAATCTTTCGTATTTCCGATCGTTCTTTCAGGGTTCGTCAGGTCAACGTGATAGCAGTAACGACGTGTTCCTTAGCGTTCGAAGTTCTCCAGAATGTAAAGGATTAATGGCACCTGCCACTGATCTTGGTGCCGAATGGAAAAGAAGATTCGATGCTACTGGTTTAAGCAGTGATGCATCTTTGCCTCTTCTTCGTGGTCTTTCGCCTACACCAACTACCGCACAACACAGTTCTTCGCCATTCTTTAATGCTAAACGAAAGAAATATGTTTATCCTATTACGTTGATGGGTCGAGGCGAAAGTAGCGTCTAGCAAAACGAAAAAGAAAAAAAAAGGATGATCTACAATTTTTACGATAACTTTTCTAGCCTAATCAAATAAAGAAAGGTAATTTTTCGAAAAAGGTCTGTTTAACAACTGTTCAAAATGAAGATTAAGCAAAACTTGTGCCAATATGATCGACCGCTTGAAATTTCTCTACAAATATACGCTCTATGAACGATTAGATTTTTAAAACAAAGACAAATCGATTAGAGTATACGCTTAAAGGGTAACATTGATTTATCGACTAATAATTGAATGACAAATATTAATAAACAGTGTTAGGCAATATATCTTTAATTGAATTAATGATTTCAATTAAACTATTTAATTATCATAATCAATGATATATGAGATGAAAGTATCTATGGAGTAGTTCGTCAATGATTCAATATATCTACGAAAAAGTTTAATCAATGTACGAGTCTACAAAATAATTCGTCGATATGTGAATTTTAATCATACGATTCACATCGATGTAAGTAAACATTTAATTATTAATTGTAATTGATAATTAAATATTTCAATTGCGAATCGTTAATGGTTAATCGAATTAAATATTGACCAACACTGTATTAATAAATCTTAAGAAGCGACGATGTGATTAACACGAACAGTTTTGCGTTTAACTAATTTCTTTTCTCTTTTTTTTTTTTTTTTTTTTTTTTTACATAGATTTTATCCTTTTCATGAAGTTACAGACGTAACATGAAAGAAAAGGAGACTTTTTAAATAAAAGTCGATACGTTTAATTATCATTTATTACTTCGAAAAATTTAATTTCTTTTCTAGAATGCATTATAAATCATTTATAGTTTATAACTATGGTGAGAATGTTCTATTGAACGAGATAATAAAACGGATGTAATATGTTCGATAAAAACAATATTTAAGATTCGTACCAAGTGAAACATCTTGAGGTTCGTGGTTAGAAAGTAAGAAATTTGTTTCGTAAGTCAAACTTACGCGCTATGCGTACGATGACACTGGCCTATCAAATATCGATATTTCTTGTTAGAAAATTAGGAGCAAATTCATTTTGATACATTTTTAATAACAATACCTTTTTGAACTAGAAGAGAATTATTGCATTTATATGTCTTTACGTGAATTATCATATAGATCAAACGATTTCTTATGTTTCAATTATATATTCCTATTTTCTTCTAGGTTAGAAGAATAACAAAAAAAAAAAATTTATTCATCTATTAATGATTTTTCATACTTAACATGTTTATAAGATCAAAAATAGGAAAAAGAAATTAATATGCTATGGTATTAAAAATGAATACACTCGATGACACACAAGGTAGATGACGCATTATCAAAGGTTATAAAGTCTCTCATGGCAATGTTTTTAATAATAAAAATTTAAACATTGTACTTGTGTACAAAGTAGATGAAACGCGTATAACGCATATAATTCTAGTCGATATGGGATATATTTAGAAATGTAATATTTATGGACTTAATAAAAGTCATACATATAGAATATCTGTAGAAAGATGCTGTGCAAAGTTGATTTTGATGTATAATGAAATATAATAATTTATAAGAAATAAAAGAATGAAGAGAGATATCAATTGGAAATTTGTTTGAATAAATACATAAATCTATATAGAAAATAAATAACTCAAATATCTTGGTAAGTACATGAAAAGTTTTACTTTATCATTCATTCCTTTGATGTGCATATCATATTGAAGTACAAAATTTATATATGTAATACTTTTTTTTTTTTTAATATTAAAAAATGATAAATGACTAATTCAATATACATACATATAAATACATTTAATGTAAACAATGTAATTTGCTAATTATGTCTAATATATTTTATTGTATCGCTGTTGCCCATGGAGGAGTCATGGGCTGTGGATTTTGTAAATAAGACATTACAACGGCAGATATGGATAACATAAAATTGCTAAGTATATGTTTAGTACCATCACTGACTCTAGAATTGGCAAAACTAATACAGGAACAATAAAGAGCTAGCCAAGCGCACCATTTCAGTCTCATCATTAAACCGCACATACTGAAGATTATTCCTAGAATATTTATGTAATCTGGTATCGAATCATCTCCTGGTTGTGCTTGATTACTTGACACCGTAGGTTTGTATCGAACTTCCTTCTCGGGACGTCGTGGATCTGAGAAACTGTTCATTCTGAAATATTGTAAAATAATTTATGTATACAGAAAAGCGTCAGGTTATGTTAAATCACAAGTGAAAATACTTACATAAATATAATATTATATCTATATAAAGTTATAGAAAATAAAAGAGATATAGTGTTTATTACAAATTAAAAATCTAGATTTATACGTAACGTTATTAGTAAAATTAAATAAATAAGACAAATCGCAAAAAATCATCAGTACTAATCGATTATATATCGATTAGGTATGTAGATAACTCATGTTTAAAACGATATCTCGAAAATTTAATTTCTATTTCTATCACCATTGGCGCTACGATCTTTTGGTAACTTATCAATAATGCAAATCTTAATAAATCAAAAAAATTAAGATTAAAACACTTGATTATTGGAAATTTTTTTAAAACAAGATTAACAAATGTTCACTACCTTTTGTTCGAAGCGTATGTGATTTCAGCGACAGGTATGAACAAAATATGAATTACGAATACAAGTGGGGAACGCTGTCCTCACCGTGTATCTATCGTATCGATGTATAAACTTGTTTGGTTATTCTCCTCATGCTTAAATAACGATTGGTTTTGTTTGGGTTAGAGTAAGTAGTTTAGTAGACTGTGAATTCACTTTTCAATCTCCCATATGTATAACTAGATAAAAAAGATTAAAAAGAAGAGAAGATAAAAAAAATAAATAGAAAAAGAAAAAAGAAAGTATAGTTCGATCATTTTTTCAAGAATAATTTGTGTACAAATAGAAAGCTTTTTCAAAAGTCGTCTTTAAAATGAGACCGTGTTCATCAAAATTGGTTGAGAATTACATTTGTTCTATTTGATGGCGTAAACCATTAGAAAACCAATGGTAGTGAACAGATTTAATATTTTGTCTTTAAGATTATTTATCACAGTTTTATAATGGTTTACGTCGACAGTGATTATAGACGTAAATCTTAAACGATTTGGTTGAAAAAGGTCTCATTTTAAAGATGATTTAAGCTGAGGCATGACTTTTTCGAACTATTGAAAAAGCTTTATTTTATTTGAATAATATTGCATCAGAAAATGGTATTTTTTTCGAGAATAGTATGCATAAAAAAAGGTATTTTCAAAAATCCGGAAAAGTCATGTTCTCGTTTACACCTTCATTTTTAAAAGGAAACCACGTTCATCAATAGCGTTCAAGAATTAAATATGGACTCGTTGTTGGTGTAAATAGCTGCTTTCGACATTTTTTCGTAAAAAAATAATTAGTTTCATATACTTCTAATTTTATGACAGAAGTGAACAAGCTACTATGACTATTAGATTTTTATATAAACTTTTAAATGCTGTGTATTCTATTTCCACGAAGTATAGAATTGCTTTTTTGTTTATGTGCTTAACGATCCTGAGATTTTCTAATCCATTCCAAACTCAAGAAAATGCGTTTCGTATCTAATTCATTCAATTCGTGTCTAAAAACAAGATTTTGTTGATTATTTGGTGAAAAATAATAATTAGTGAATATATACTTATATATTATATTTTTATAAAAATTAAAACATTACATCATTTCCACATCATCTATGAATTATAACCTATATAAGCTTATAGACACGCCTTTTTTGCTTTTACAGTTCATATTGTGTCCATACCTGTCGCTGAAGTCACACACGTTTCGAGCGATAATTAATAAACAGCCTTAATTTATAATTATAAACACATTATATATATATATATATATATATTTACATATATTTACACATATGTATACATGCATGTATGTATGTATATATAAATAACAATACTTGTATTTAAATCAAATAAACATAATGAATATAATATCGTGCACCACGTGGGTTAAGAGAGGTATTGCTGCAACTCTTCCTGAAAAGGTTAATTTAAAAACGAACATAACGTAATATATTATCTTTATATATTTTATATCACGATTAGAAAATATAATTGTGATTTACAGGTTGAACTGACATCAAAAGAATTAGAAGAAATTATAAAACAAACCCAATTTGATTTGCAGTATGTTTATGTAATAATTTACTACACAAAATTTCTTCAAAATCGTCCAATTGTATGAGAAAAATATTATTTTTAGGAATGATGATTCAGATAAAGAAGAAGAAGAAGAAGAAGAAGAAGAAGAAGCTATTGGAGATGAAGTTGATTCGGAGAAAAAGAAAGTTAAAAAGAACTATGATGTAAATAATAGTTCTATGGAAACCGATGAATATGATTTTGATAAATATGATAAAGAGAGTAGGTTTATTATTTTGAATTAGATATTATATTTGCATTATAAATTTGAACATTAAAAAATATATTTTTAAGGCGGTGATATACATTGTAATATCGGAAATATAGTATCTTTTGGGGAAGACGGTAAAGATCCTCTTATAACATCAGCAGAGATTGATGATGATTCAGAAAAAGAAGATGACATGATTAAAGGCGATGATAATTTAGTTTTGCTAGGACACGTTGATGGTGATGCCAGTATATTGGAAATATTTGGTTAGTTTTTGTATTAAACTAGTCTCATTGATAAAATATATTTTTATTTAAATAACTAATCTACCTTAATCTAAATGAGTTATAGTATATAATGCAGCAGAAGGTTCTTTTTATTGTCATCATGATATATTGTTACCATCATTTCCATTATGTATCGAATGGCTTAATTTTGATCCAAGTGATACAATGCCAGGTAAATAAATAAAAGATTAATTATATATTTTGTAATATATATTATTCATATTTATTTGAATTTTTCTTTAGCCAATTTATGTGCAATCGGAAGTATGACTCCAATAATTGAAGTTTGGGATCTTGACCTAATTGATTGTTTAGAACCAGTTTTTAAACTTGGACGTAAACCAAATAAAAAAAAAAAATTGACCCGTATCGGTCATAAAGATGCAGTATTAGATTTGGCATGGAATAAAAATTATACGTAATTAATTAGCTAATACTTTTTGTTAATTAATTTCATTATAAAATATGAATATCCTAAAAGATTTTCTTTTCAGGCATATATTGGCAAGTGGTTCAGTTGATCAAACTGTTTTATTGTGGGATTTAGAAAATGGCAAACCTGCTACCAAATTAGATCCTTTCAATGAAAAAGTTCAGAGTCTTGAATGGCATCCATTAGAAACTCACCATCTCTTAACGGGATGTGCAGACCAGTAATTATTATTTTTATCTATTAATATAATAGTTATTGTATTTGTATTATATATTAATTGTATACTATTTTATTTAGAGTTGCAAGATTATTCGATTGTAAATTAGAAAGCAATGTTAAAGAATGGCAGACACCTGGAGAAGTAGAAAGAGTCTTATGGAATCACTTTGATGCTAATCATTTTCTTGTAAGTACATGTATAGTTTTATCTTTTTAATATTTCAATTGTTTAATATTAAAAAAGTATTAATTTCATACATGTCATAAGTAATATATATGTATTTTTAAAGATAATATGATAGTAATTTTTATTGTAGATTAGCACAAATAATGGTTACCTTGAATATTATGACATAAGAGAAGATTCACCAATTTGGCAAGTCAAGGCTCATGAAGCAGAAATTACAGGTCCCCCCCCCCCTCAAATTATTTATATATATGAGATAAACAGAATAATCATGTCCTGTTTTTTTGTCTACTTTTTAGGATTATCTTTTAGCTCATCATATCCAGGATTATTAGTTACTTCATCGAATGATAGCATAATCAAAGTATGGGATATTCTTGATAGTAAAGATCCATGCGTTATATGGGAAAAAAAGACTAATTTAGGTGCATTGCAATGTCTTGCACCAAATCCAGATATTCCACTTGTATTTGCTGTAGGTGGTGACAACAAAGCTCATAATTTTAAAGTTATAGATTTGTCTGAAATATCAATAGGTATGTGTTTCATTTTTATGTATTTTATCATAGTTGTAACACTTATATCATACAAATTGATGATACATTACTATTTTTGGTTTATGTTTCATAAAGATATGTATGTATTTCTATGATGTTATTATATAATACCTCTTATAATTATTACAACAGTTAATGACAGATTTAAAAAAAGAGAAACTATACATATGGAAATGAAAGAAAACTCTAAAAAGAGTGAAGACTATGGCACAAAAGGAGAAATGATGGAAGTGGCTGAGTGTATGGAATCCATGGCATTAAACATTGTTAATTCTTCTGGGGTTAATAAAAAAAAAAAAAAGAAATAAGAAATAATAAATGTTATCTAAATTTTGTGTACGAAATGTAAATAATTTACCTATACTATACGTTCGATATGTACATAATATAAATATCGTGCAACACACATTTTTCTTACACATGATAATTCTATTTTCATAATTTATAGATAGGATATTTAATAAAATGCAAATGTCATTAGATTTTCGAAGTTTTTATTCGGTTCCTTTTGCTATTTACTCTAGTTTATAATATTTTTGTGTGACAAATTCTATATATTTTCAAGCACAATAAATTACACAATACTGAATAAGGAAGAAAGTTTATAATGATCTTAATATACCTGGGATGGTTGTGTATAATAATTCTTATTTCTTTTTTTGCAGATAATTTATTTCTTTCCCTGTAGTAATATAATGTTATCCCCAACAGTATTTCGTAAGAGTTAATCATTCTGTACAACAATGTGATTTCATTCTATATTCTTTACAATTGATGGATTCCAATTTTTTTCCCCTTCTATAGATAATTTATATTAAGAAGGCAGTTGATACAAACTTTGATTCATAATATTTCATTATCATAAAAATACAACTTACAATGATTTAATAATGACTAAGAGTGTTAATATTAATTGTACGAGAATAATTGCCAAATATTATTTATCGACTAAAAAAACTTGGAAAAAGAGTTTACAATAAATGTGATTAAAAAATTACTTTTGAAATGTATATTAAAAAAAAAAAAAAAAAAAAAAAAAAAAAAAAAATTGATAACTACACCATTACAATAATATATAACGAATTTGTGAAAAGTGTTCTTTATTTTACTTATATAGTAAGTTGAAATTCTCAGTAAATTATTGGATATTTATATAATAAGTATTCACAAAAAGTATCTCATTTACTTTCACTTTGAGTTGATAACTTGGGTTCGCCAATATTATTTCTATTAGTGCAATAGTTTAATTGATATATAATTTAATAAATTGATAATACATCATAATGTATGTAATAACTCAATATACTTAAAGAAAAATGATATTTTACAAATCGTTTTTAAATCTCGTATACGATTTGAGTTTAATGTAATTTATACCTCGGTAGTGTAAAATGGATAAAAATAAATATAAAAATAATTATAGATCGCAGTTTATAATGATCAGATAGTTATTAATAATATCGGCTATTAATTGTTGAAATGTAATGTTTTTCATTTATGAACATGCACATTCCATTTTGTTATCATACAAGATAGATTTGCTATCAGTAATTTATAATTGTTGAAATATTCAATTGATATTTAGAAATTATTTAAAAAACCAAAAATATTCATAAACTAGAGATATAATCTAAAAGTTATATAAATTATAATAAAAAAAAATTGCAACAAGTTAAACTAATGAAATATATTAAAATTATTAGGTTTAGTCCTTTGTCCCAAGACAAATATTTCGATTAAACATTAAAATATTATAATGCAAAGTGTGAGCACTTGAAAAAATAACATAAGATTTTGTTTATAGAGATATTTAAGATACATAAAAAAAAGAAGAAAAAAAAACAAAAGAAGAAAAAAAGAAAAAAGAATTAATTGGCCACTTTATATTCTACTTTGTGCTACAGAGAAAATTAAAATTACATGATTTATATAAATTTAATAAGCAAAATTTTCTAGATTTTAAAGTAACATAAAAATAGTATATTTTCTCTTTAATTAATAAATATATCAAATAAAAGTAGATAATACACAACTTGGAAAGTCAGAAATCTTTACACAATTAAATGGTAAATATCTTTTTAATAATTTAATGAACTGGAATGCAGAAAAGATGTATATATGTACCAGTGCCAGTTGTTTGATATATTTTTGCTCACACAAGCATGTTAACTAAAACTATTCATACAATGCATAATGACATCTAATGTGTCATGAGCTCTGTTAAAAGATTTTAATAGTAATAATAATCTTGTAACATGCTCTCTGGCAGTGGTTTTTCAAATTCAGTAAAAGTCACAGACATTATTATGTTAACAATGGATTATAAATTTATAATGATACAATTTTTGCATAAATATGGATTGTAAGTAAAATAAATATAAAAATCTATGATATATATGAATAAATTTTGTATAGGAGTTAAAACAAATATTATTAATCATGAAAATTTACTATAATATGTGAATTAGTAAATAAATATAAGATAATTAAGTACAATTTCTTATATTATAAATAACTTGTCTTTAATAGTACAGATTATTAAGAAAATAGTATAAAATAAAGATTCCATTGATAGCATAAAATGCCTGACTTATTGTGTAGCTGTAACAGATAGACAAAATTGTCGCTTTTGCCCACAAGGTGTACAACTGTACATGGAAACTGACATATAATATATTAATTAGAATAATCCACACATATATGTGACATAGTATTGACCTAGGCATCAGTTCCTATATCCAGACTTCTAGAGTCTTGGTTGGAATCATGCTGACTTCCATTTTCAGAAGAAGCACTGCTGGAAATACCAGACTGATCCGAACTTTTTTTAACTTTTGGTTTATATTCAGTAATAACAACGGTAACATTATTTACCGTTACTTCATTGGTTTGAGCCGTACTACGATCTATATTTTTAAGACGAGGTGGATGCCTACTCTTGCGCCTTGGTTTGTCCAGTTTGCGGTCTTTTTCTTTTCCACTGCTAGTTGTACTACTACCACTACTTCCTTCTTTTTTGCCAGGCTTTAAAAGTGGCACATATTGCTGTTGTGCAACCTAAATGAGAAATATATGAACATATAAATCAGTAAAAAAAAAAAAAAAAGAAGAAAATAATTAGTAGAAGTTTTTAGAGTAAATATAATGAGAAATAATGAGAAATAAAATAGACAACCTGTTGTGCCACTAATTGAGGATTAATGCGGGGTTTCCGCGTGGAAGTTCCTTTGCGGACGTCACACATGAGGCACTTAAATGCTTCCGCTGTATTTCTATATGTGCAGACACTGCAGTCCCAATAATTTTCTTCCAGAACCTTCGCCTGACGTTTTCCGCTTCCGGAATGGTTCATTGTTCATCAAAGTCAGTCGTAAAACACTGTACTTTCTCAAAAGAGAGTTTGCCTTCTTGTTCGTGATTTCAGCCTCATTAAAAGTGATTTTGTGAACACTGAATATTCTATGACAATAAGGATGCTCAAAAAGAGCAAGAATAAAGATATGCAATAAAAATAACAAATGTCTCTAAGACAATATTTTGTGCATCAACTAAATAGGATACACAATTGTCTAATGTATGCATCCGTGTTAAATCGACCACCTACATATCTTGGATACATCATTGTTTTGATAACATACATGTTTGGCATATATCTATAACAAATATATAATATTATTAATTACAATCTATTACTCTTGAATTGTTAAGCAGTTTTAATTATTGGAAAAAAAATTTCATGTAACAAATATATAAATGCGTTGTCTGCTTACGTTCATATACATATTGAAGAGATATAAAATAAATAAGATTTTTATAATATCAGCAAATTTGCAAAATGAATATTTATCTTGACTTGTCGACTTACCAAAATGGAGTGACAAGATAAAAGATTCTTCTTTACATTTAAAATTACCTATCCTTTTGTGTATTGTTTTTCTCTTCCTTTTTACATCAAGGTTTCACTTTTAAAAAAGGATTGCATTTTTTCACCATTTATAAATATAATTGAAGTTCCATGCAATTGGATAAGATCTATCTTAAATATAGTCAATTCTTTTCAATGTTAAGAAATATTTTCAACATTTTCCTTCTTAATCAAACAGATGGGATTTCAGCGTTGCATATACTAGTAGCATCGCTGCACATGCACAACGCACTCGTTGACAGTATTGTCGATGTATCATATACATATATTAGATACTATTATTCTATGCGTATGTGTGTATGTATGTGTGTGTGCGTGCACACATTGAAATATTCCATACCCTCGATAGGAAAAATTGGGACAGCAATCACTTTAAAGGATCAAAGATCAAAATATTTCTTCACTTCGGATATATCATTATAAAAATATAAAGGTGAACGTATCATAACTATTACAAATTCGTTAAAATATTATGAAACTCCAAAATATTGACAAACAATTTGCAACGCTGTTTCTCTATCGGCCGAACAGCGGAATCTCGAATACGGACCAAAATACTATTTAATTTGGCAACGTCGCAATGAAGCAGGTCCGTATTGAATAAATACTAGAGCCTGTTTCTGTTTTAGATAAAAAATATTTTTCTTACATTTTTGCATAAAATGTTTGAATATTGATATCGATAATCAAACTAAAACGACACGAAAAAATAAAGATATTCTTTTATTCCGTTTAATTGACGTTTTTATAATTTTTCACAACGAATAATATAATACACACACATTCATATGTTTATTAAAGAAATATAAACAATATTGAATAAAATAGATTCGAGTAATCGTGAAATTATTTTACCATTTGGAAAGTCATTGAATCAAAATATCAATTTAATCTTTCATACGTCCCTGTCACTTTTGTCGAAGAAATCGTATACTTTCAATCGTATGTGTGTGTGTTTGTCATAAGTTTCTATAATCACAAGTGTTAAGTGGGTGTTTTTCTGTAAATTTGTTGGATGAAAAAGTGTCCTTAAATTATAAACATCGGTAGTGTCACAGAAAGAAATTAAATATTACGAAATTGTATTTGATGATATGGTAAGCACATTGGTATTAATTTATAATATACTTTAAAATTAGGTTAAGATATATAAACAAGAGAATAACTCAGTCAGTTTTTATATGTGCTATTTTTATTGTTATATAAATACTTGTTATTGATGTTTTCTTCTGTTTTAATTGTTTGCCTAATATTAGCTTATTTAATTTATTAAAATTTAATTTAAGATAATTAATAATTTTACTTATTAAAATTTATTTAAGGTAATTAATACTTTGTCGAAAAATATCATATGTTTATTGTAAGAAAAAATAGAAAAAGTAATATTTAATGGATTAAATTTATTTGTAATGATAGAATGTATCGGATGAAATGGAAAAATCATGGGAACGATCATGGACTACAGAAGAAATGAGAAACAAGAGGCAAGAATGGAGTTTGGCAGCTGATGCAGGATTATTAAAACATCTTCAACAATTTTCTGAAGTAAGACGGAAGTCAATAAATAATATCTCTTATATTTAAATTATATGCTACATGATACATTTTTATACATTATTTATTATTATTGTTATGTTTTAGAATCTAGTGTCAAAAGTTAACAAAACTCAACAAGCAATAGATTCGTTAACAACTCAATTGGGTGAAACTGCAATAATTATAGATAATGTAACCAATACTTCTTTGGCATTAGCCAATACTCAGTTTATTGAGAGTCGAGTACAAGAAGATGATATAGAAATTGAAAAAAAAATAGAAGAATTGCAACAGGTATTTAAAAGACTTAATATATATATATATATATAATATATAACATATATAACATATATATAATATTATTTAATTTATTAAATAATACATTAAATAATATATATAACAGATCTGTTATAAAGTGAATAATATTAACAGGACTCTAAAGAACAAGAACTCCCAACTACAGATCTTATAGCCAATATAAGTGAAAGTATAAAACAAGGTTTAAATATAATGGATGAAAAGTATAAAAGAATGGAAGTTATTGATAGCGATAGCGAGGATGAGGGTGATGCAAGAGTTATGAGGTTATTATATTTATTAAAAACGTTACACATTGTAGAGAACGATAAGGTGATAAATGATATAGAATGTTTTTTATTGCAGTATTATTTTGGGGCCAAAAGATCCATATCAAGAGCGACCTTTGCCTTATGTCATTGGTTCGGATAAATGGAATACTTCGAATAAAATTGGTTTAGAAAGCAGTAGCAGTGAATCTGAGCAAGTGGATGAAGAAGAGGATGAATCAGAAAGTGATAAAGAGGAAGAAAGAATACAAGAATCTTTCGACCCAAAAAACGATCAAACCATAAATGCCAGATTGTCTTCTTCATTGAGCGAATCGGAAAGATCGAACGATGCTTCGTATTTGAATCATGGAAAATTAGACAGTATATCTCAGAATACTATGAGTTTTGCATCTGATTCTACAACTCCTATAAAGGATCTACCAAAGGTTTCTTTTTCATATCTATTATTGTTCAAAGTAACCCATAAAAATATACGTAACATAATTAAAACATATTTATGTAATTTCCAGGTCCAGGTTGCTAATGAGACACCTAACTTTGCTGAAGAATTAGCCAAGAGATTAGGTAGCGTTCGACAAGCTCAAAAACCTTCGATAACGAATGAAACAAGAGAACCTTCTATTAATAAATTTAAAGGTAATATTTTAATATCTTCATATTACATATGACAATAGATGAAAAAATAATTCCTTTACTTTTGGACGATCTATTTACATCAGAGGATGATGGTATGGAAGATTTCTTTAACGATAAACCCAACAATTTATTTGACGATAACAAAGAAATCTTCGAAGATAATGTATCGACGAAGTTATGGGAAAAACAACCTGTTTTTCAATCGAATATTATTCCACCTAGTATGGATGTTCCACCACCTATCAGTACAATATGTAAGTTCAACGTGTAATATACATTAGATTTTAACAAATCAAGTCATAATAAATCGAGTCGAGCAGATTTAATTTTTTCTTAGCTATAAAACCAAAATCAGCGATTGATGATTTATTCGCTGATGGAGATTCAGAAGATTCGGATGACATCTTTTCATCGAAACAACCTGTAAAAAGGATTACGAAAGATGCTAAAGCAGAGAGCAAACAAGCTATGAATACAGAAAGTATACAAAAGAAGTTCCTTGACGTTGTGATTGGCAAAACTGGTAAAACCAACTGGACAACAAGCACACCAGAGTCCAATGTCGATGTCAATAATCTATTTAGCGAGGAAGAAGATGATAATGATCTTTTTGCAACATCTAAAAAGCAATCCAGTAAACCTATAAAAGAAACACAGAATCTTATCAATTCGGAGAACAATAACAAAAAGGTACAACAATATTGTGAGACATAACTTTCATACAAATTGTTAATTATGCAATTGTGTTTTATTTTCGTGCGTTAGAAACCAGTCGGTGATCTGTCAATACTCGGTGGAATTTTGACTTCTTCCATCGAGAATACATTATCGAGTAGAATACCGCGTCGTCAGTCATCGGATTCATCCAACAGCGACGCAGAAGGTGTTTCGAGTAACGAACTCATATTCGCGGATAGTTCTATTGCAAGGCCAGGAAATTCAGGAAACTGGGACGCTAATCTTGAAAATAGCGGTAACAGTAGCGGTATTTCGATTCAACGTCACAGTATAAGCAGTACAACGATTAAAACGATGTCGTAAGTTTTCTATTTTCTATCTATCTATATATATATATATACATATATAGATCTTTTTTTCATTTTGTATACGTAGAGAGGAGAGAGAGAGAGAGAGAGAGAGAGAGAGAGAGAGAGAGAGAGAGAGAGAGAGAGAGAGAGAGAGAGAGACATTTACGTATTTTTCGCGATTTCCTTTTTAGAAAATGTTAAGTAAATCATTGATAGTGGATGAAATGAAAGTTATCATTGACAGAGGATGATACAAACATTAATCACTCTACTATTTCTCATTGAGTATGACATTGAGTAAACGTAACAAACTTCCAAGGCAATATTCTTCAGTATAATTCAGTATAGTTCAGTATAATTCACTATAATCTAGACAATAATTCTGTTAACATGCATTTGATAAAACGGTTTAAAATATTTTTTTACGTGATGTCATTTTCATCTTCCAATCATTTGTTCTGTAACTTTCGGATAGTCATATGCTCGCACAACGCATGGGTGTATTTAATTTTTACAGATTGGTCCTCCACAGCATTCTGGATAAGGTTTACTTAAATCTTCGTCTTCGTATCCGATTATTTCATTACAGGTATACACTGGACATCTAAAAGACAAAAGAAATATTTTATAAAACTTATGTACTTTTAACCATGTTATATTCACATTTCCATTAAATTCGTTTTTTAAAATTCTGTTGACCGTAACTTGCTTTTAAGTTGAAGACCGTTTTAGTATTACTTATACGTGCTATATAAAAAGCTCGTATATGACGCAAAATTAGATTTTAAATCATAAGAAAGATAGCGCGTACAAATCAAAATCATATCTTTCGTTAATTTAAGATTCTACTCGTATCATATCTGACTCACGCGAGTGCAGAGAAATCGCCGGACTCATTGCAGAAGATCCTTGTACAATTACGAATGTGTTCACCAACTGAGAGTGTTTCGTCATTCCACTGACAATTTCCTGAAAAAAATTCCGTTTTGATTTTTTAATGTTCAATCGATTATTTGAACAATAGACATTGTTTATTGCATATCTGATCCAATATTTACTAATTTTTTCTTTTATTTCACAATCATCATTGTAGAGTCTTGTCTATATTGATATAGTATAAGTTTTACTATAGTATATAAAGCTTACATACTATATACTATCGATCGAAGTTTCTACGGTTAAGAGTCATCAGTATAGATGTTCAAGGAAACTATGGTTCAACTAATTCATTGAATCGAATTTTTAAATATTGAAACTTTTCAAGAATTTGATCAACTCTTTTATAAACTAATCATTTGTATGTACTTTTGTTGTTATTGAACACAACAAAATGTTTAATTTTGTTTACCTTCAACTTGCCAGAAGAGACATAATGCAATTAATATTCCACAAAATACGAATATAGATTTCATCTTGTCCATTTAATAATGATACGTCTAGCATCGATCGTTCCTTCTGAAACACTACTAATATAATCTAATATAATCTTTGCTTGCTTTTATATGTTTTGCACGAGCTTCGGAGAAAAAATTGTTTATATATTCGAGCATGAAGAGATGGCGTGTTTTAGAATAACGGACTCATTTCAACATGAAATAAATCATTTAAATGTTATCTTCAGATATGATTTCATCATAGTATATCTTTACTTATGCTGTACGTTTTTTTATAACGTACGTACATACATTGTATAACGCGGATGTTAGATTCGAGAAAAATTAATAAAATTAAAAATTGTACATATAGAAAATTAATTTGTTGGATGAAAAAGGTACATATATCTTAATTACTAATTAATTATGTATGATATTTACTAGGAAATAATGTTTGCCGATCGGTCAAGATAAATGCACGCTTATGATTTAATTGATTCGTCCACTCTACACAGATTATCGGATTAATTGTCATTAACAATTACAATTGTTAAGAAAAAATCTCATTATTTGTTATTCGTTGTTCGTTAAAAATTCGCCAAAACAATAGCATGTATATGCACAGAAAAGAAGTGCGTCTGTATCAATTACTAGAAAAGATGTGACTAAAAACTAAGCTTTATTCTAATACGTAGCGTAGGGATAGGGTTAAAGAAAGGAGATATGACAAATTAAAAATGTTCTAAGAAGTATGTTATACTTACATTTCACCTCTTGATAAAGTCACATAAATAATTGACATTTTATATTAATATATGATGAATAAAATCCTTTGGATTACATACATAAGTATTATGTATAATTTATGAATTTTAGTTTAGGTATATATTTTCATAAATTCTCATAAATTTTCTGCGTATTTATATATGACGCATATCTTATCACAGGTGAGTAACCGGCGGCTCGTTATATATTTGCATAAAGAAAAAAATTTCCATTATTTCATACCGCTTTTTTTATTGTTTTATTGTTTCATGCATGCACAGTTATTGTTTTTAAGAACTTAAATAGTGGAGAATATTGGACTGATCGACTTGCGACCTATGACTTATGAGATATCTCAATACTTTTTTAAATTTATTTAAAAAGTTAAAACAAGATAGTTGTTGTTCCAGTAAAATAATCTGTCTGAAACATTAAATCAGAATTATTTTATTAACGATGTAAAATGTGTTTTTCTAATCTGTATTCTATATTAATATTTTATTTCTATTAGGATCATAAATAAATCTATAATATATAACATTAAAAACATACGTACGTATATAGTTTCTATTATGTTTTTGTTTTCTTTTACACTTACAGGACAGATGACGTATATACTTCGACTCGTTTAAATTCGGAAGAATTGTATCGTGAGAGATTCATCAGCGATAGTCTTTTCGTGGCGAACACTTTGCATCCTCCGGAAGTTAATTCTACTTCCTTGAGGACGTCGAACAATCAATCGAACGTGGAACAAATAACAGAGATATCGACAGGATTGGACGATGTCTTTGAGAATAAGGATCTGTTTGGTCCACCACCTCTTCCTAAAGCAGATTCGAAAACGAACAAATCGAAGATATCTTCACTCTTTGATGAATCGGATTCCGGAGATGAACTTTTCTCTACAACTAGTTCCGGTTCAAGGTCACAAAAGAGTACGGACTTTTTAGCTACGACTCCTCAATATTCGGACAAAAATAAATTGTCCAATCGTAAGGGACTTTTTGACGAGGACATCGATATTTTCGGTAACAAAGATTCACCGGACGTTGATATATTCGGAAATGTTTCGAAACCTTACAAGGATAACACGGTTGTTTCGAAAAGAGCCCTGGATATTACGTCCGATAACTTTTCGGTCAATAAAATTCATGGTACGAACGTTTCGAGAGAGAGTAATATTATTAAACCTTCGGTTAAGTTAACAACATCGAAGAAAAGTAGTCTTTTTGATGACGAGGAAGACGATAACGTTGATGATTTGTTTGGAGTGAAAAATACGAGAATCGAAAGTAGAGTCAAATCGCCAACTTTTGCCACTAATTCTGGTGGAAGTGATCTCTTTTCGACGAAAGAACCGATAAAGACGATAGAAGTAATTGATAAGAAGAGTTTATCTCGGGAAGACAAAACAAAAGTGGAAGATGTTAAACGTCAAACTTCTTTGTTAAAAAAGACATCGGAAGGAACAGCCAATAACTTTTTAGCCACGTCTAAGAAGGAGGATAAAGGAGAGGACAATCAGGATAAAGGGAAGGACGTCCTCTTTGAAGATGATAATTATGAGGATCTATTTGCTAACGATAGGAAAGATAAAGGCGAAATAGAAGTGGAAAGTAAGATAGAGAATACCGAGGAATCGAATCAAATCGTATTGAAGAAAGCATCAGCTCAAGTAGATATCAAGACTTCTGATAACTTTGATGATAATAATAGCGTCGATATTGAAAATAAAAAGCATCCACCGACAACGTTAAACATTCTTACTACCACAACTCCGTTGTTAACGGAAGATAATTCTCAAGTGCTACGTCGAGCAGTCTCAGGAAAAATCAAAGATCTAATGGGGAAAATGGGTGATTTAAAAATTCTTTCTCCTACTGATACACCACCGTTGTGGAAAAAGAGTGAAGAGAAGACGGATGAAGAGGATGAGGTGTTCGATAGGGACAGCGATGACGGAGGCTGCATCAGTACACAAATTCGAACTTTGTCAACAGGTGTGTGTGTATGTGTGTGTGTGTGCGTGTGTGTGTGTTTGTGAGAGATATTATGTATTAATATTTTTCTTCTTGCAGAAGGTAATGAACCTTTGAAAGAAACGGCTCGGTCAAGTAATGGTAATAGTAACGCCGAAACTGCAATTAGTTTTGATGTACCGGCACAAGTAGAAACGCTCTCGACTGCGTCAAAGGTAATTACATATTTGTTTTCATTGTCGTCAAATCATCAATTAAAATAGGCTTACCTATATTACTATATTGCGTATTATGTAATCTTTTCTTATTAATAATTAACACAACTTTTTTTTATTTGACAGAGTCGAGTGAGAATTCAAGCAAAACGTCGGCCTCAAAGTAGGCATGCACGGAAATCCGCTCTCAGACAAAGTGGTTTAAACTTTGATACCATCAATACGGTCGAAAAGATTCCCCAAGATGAAAATTCTATTTCCAAAGAATCGTCAAATTCAATGAATCTTGCCTATGTTCCTCCGAACGCCGATCGTTTGAGTTTGTTGTCCTCTTCCAATTTCCTCGATAATATTCCACGAAATGTTGAATTAAATCCTTCGATAGCTGATGATAAATCCGAACTTGGAAGTATTAGCAAAGAAAGTTCGATAAGCGTGAATAAAAACACTTTGTTGTCTCCATCAACCGACGAAGAAGATTTGTTTGATGTACCACCAGATTTACCAGAGGATCCACAAAGAGAAGATACTTTGTTTGGAAGAGCACCAATACTTTCACCAATTCAAAATCTTTTGTCCGATAGAGAGTCTACATATGGTAGACCTTTGAGAGACACTATCATTGGTGGGAACGATGAAACCGAGAAAACTATTAAAAAAGATTCGATCAAATCTGAAGTTAATAATCATACTAATTCTATAGCTGATACTGATTTCGTCGTAGAGAATGAAAAAAAGGTAGAAGTAAAATCGAATGAGATCGAATGTTTTACGAAAGTTCAAGAGAATAAATACGAACAAATGGATGATTCGACAGAAACCACGAACGATGTGTTTGAACAAGAGTATCCGAAAGGACCTATAGATCCTTTGCGTGATAACAGCTACGACCCTTTAAAAGATCCGAGTCAATTATTTGCGTTCGTAACGAAAACTCCTTCGCCTGATAAAGGTAAAGAATTGTTATTTTCGGATGATGATAGTCTCTTTAGCAGTGGATTTATCAAAACGAGGGAAGACGAATCGGTGAGAAAACATGTTTCAGATTTATTCGCGGACGGTGCAAGCGGTGATCTGTTTTCGGTACCTTTAACAAAGTCCGTGAAAAAGCCTTTGAAAGAGAGTAAAATCAGCTTCTTTGATAAGGACTCAGATGGTCAGAACGACGAAGATGATAATTTGTTTGGTTCCATCATGAAGAAGGTATCGACGAAAAACGAAGAACAAAAAAGCATTGTAGCGACAAAGATTTCACAAAAGAAAATCAATCTTTTCCAAGACGATGCCGGCGATGACGATGATGATGTTAATAGTTTGTTCGCAGAGCAGCCAGTACAAACCCAAAAAGTCGAATCATTCAAAGTTCCTCAACAGTCTGGAAAACTTGAAAGTATTTCATCCGTTGATGGCAGATCTGTCAAAACTTCCAAATCTACCGACATATTTGGTGATCAGTCAAGTACGGAAGACGATATATTTGCTTCTATAAAACCAATTTCTAAAAAGGCCAAATCATTGTTCGCGACTGATAGTGATGATAATGATAATGAATTTTTTGGTAAACCATCTTTGGTAGAATCCAAGTCGATAGAAAGTAGACCAATCGTAAAAAAATCTGTTACCCGAGATCTTAAAAAAACGGCCGAAAAGATAGTCGAAGATCCGTTAAGTATATTTCAGAAAGATTAATAGTTCATGCATGTGTACATTTGTCCAAGTATTTCTATTTTTAAATTCACATTTTTTCTTTTAATATGCTGCTGCTGTTATCCTCCGAATTTTTAAATTAATAAATATAAAAATTTTGCGGCATAAGTATTAAAAATAATAAGAATAATATAATATATAGATATATACATATATACACTTACACACACACACACACACACACACATTATATATATATATATATACATAAAATCTTTTAATATAAAATCTTTTTTTTATAAGTCAGTATAATTTCTAATTGGCATAATAAAACCCAGAGCGTTTAAATATTGGGAGAGTAACCGTACAATTACATGCAATCAGAAAATGTTTTTTATTTATAGGTTAGGAACGTTAGTTACATTAATTTGGTTTATTTTTTTAATAGAATGATCATGTAATTAAAAGAACGATTATACAATATTTTTTCATCTTCGATATCTAGTATACAGAGATAATAAATATTACATTTTTCCGATCTAACAATGAACATTTATTATAGAAATACAATTTTTATCAAACGTCAAGAACAACGAAGGATGCAAAACTCACTACAGCAAATATATGAAATAACGTTTATATTTATTTTAGTAGTTTAGAATAAAGTAACAACAAGTAGTAATTAAAATAGCAAAATAGTACATGACAGCAAACATTGTATATTTTCTGTACCAATATCTATTACATAGCTAGCTTACATATATATTTGCTCATTATCCTTGAGTTTTATATCATTCCATTAATTATATATATATTATTTAATTTCTAATATATATATATATATATATATATATATATATACATATTAGAAATATATATACATATATATTAATATTAATATATGTATATATATATATATATATATATATATATAATTAATACTAATATAATTATAAATACTAATGTATATTACTACAAATAAAAACATTTTAAAAAATTACTTATTCAACAAACTATTCATAGTAAAAATTTATAATGTTACATAAATGCATTTCACACTCATATAAAATACAGCTACTTAGAAATTAAAAACATCGTGCAAATAAATAATATATAGATATAATGAGCAAGTTTATTTTCCAGAAATGATGACAGTTAATTTTAAAATTATTCCGCCTTTCTTTATATCCAAGATCCGGTAGTATTTTATGAATCTATTTACAGAAAAATGGCGACAGTTCGTCCTTCAGCGATTCGCCTAATCATTTATTATTAATGTATTTAAAGTTACGTTTAATACATAATTTTAATGATCACGATATTATAACATTAAAGTATAACAACATTAAAAATTCTTTAATAAAATATGTTTTAATATGTGATATTGATATAATATCATAAAAGTAACTCTTAAAATATTAAATATTGTCTATTTTCTTAAAATATGATGACTATGTCAATTTTAATGAAAATATACAACCATATTTCTTTTGAAATTTATTTAAAGCTAATGAATTATGAATTAAAACTACGACAATAAATATGTATTAACAATACAAAGTTCATTTTCGATAAGTTTGTCTCTTTTATAAAGGAGTTTCGTCAGGTATTTAAAGTCAGAAATCAACCGCACTATAATTCACATTAATAAGATCAAAAATCTTTTAACTAAAGGTAAGTTAAAATTACTTCATACATCATATGAATTTCGATATTAAGAAAATATGTAATTTCTTATAAAATTTCAAATTTTAATAGACAGCTAAGAATGCCATATAATACTATTTAATAAAAATTGGAGTATTATAGTTTTATTTATGTTAGATAAATATATTATGTTTATTCACTTTCGATAGCCTTTTATATTAACGAAAATATGTGAAATGGTGTTCGCAACTTAAATTTTCATCGGAAAAAAATTCGAAAGTACGTAAAATATTATTTAAATTTCTAAGTATGATGAATTTTTGGAAAAACAGTAAAAAATTATGGCTTCCAGAGTATCACAAAAATTTATTGAAAAAGACATCAGAAACGGTATTCTTAATATTTTTTAATTATATAAAGGCATTCTTTTTCAATAATAAATACAATTACTTTTGTTCTGCGTTATTCATCATAAAAAAATAATTTGAAATTAATTCAAATCCAAATTCTCCAATATATCTGAATACAATAAATATATAACTAAAACCATTTTCATAAGCACCGATTCATAAATGCATAGAGAAGTGCGTTTAAATCCATTTTTTCATTTTATTTGTCAATTTACTCCTAAGATTGATTGTTATTATTTTTTATCAAATGATTATTATTATTAAATCAAGATTTTTACATAAATCCATGTGTTAATGTTTTTTACATATAAAATTATTAATTTTTGGTCACATGTAAAATTATTTTCTTTCTACTTCATAAAAAATAAAACCAAAAGATGACTTCGTTGGACGCCCAAACATGTAAGGAAAGGATCATGTTTTCTACGGTAGACGAATCGAATTATTTTAATCAAGAAAGCGAAGTTTCTGAGTTTTTCTCTGGACGAAAAATACTGATAACAGGAGGTTCTGGATTTTTGGGACGACTTATACTGGAAAAACTTTTGAGGTAGAAACGATCGTATTTTTATTTTCCTATCGCGGTAATATATCTCCGATTACATTATTTTTCCAATTTATCGTTAGGTTTACGAATATTTATTAAATGACCTTTCATGACCAAAGTAATTAATTCATTACTGAAGCATATGAATAGATGATATGCTTTTTATTTTGCCATGAGCGAGTCATTGAGCAACATTATATTTTTTTTTCGTGAATCCTTTCGATTATGGACTAGTAGTATCGTTTTCTCCAATTCTAAAAACAATAAAGCAGGTATCCTTTTTTTTTTTAACGAATTGAAGATTAATTAGAGATGCAACGATTAAATATATATACATTTGCTTTTTCGGAGAAGTGCTTTGTAAACTAGTAAAGAAATTTCACAATCTCGGAATATTGTAGAATGAATTCGTAACCAAGATCAAACATAAGATATCTATTTTCCTCTTAAATATCAGCCTCGAAGGAAAAGGAAATATTAAGAATATCTCTTAACAGATATACGTATACCCTCTTATTATTTCTTAATTATCTATTTTTTCTGTATTCCTCAACTATCCCACAAAAGTATAAACGCTCGAACAACTACCCCGATGTTTTATTTTTACATGGATTTATTTTACATGAGAAAGTTTCTATGAACGTATTGTTAAAATTCATAGATCATGTCCAAAAATTGAAAGGATTTATTTATTGATGAGAGGAAAGAAACAGAAGGATATGCAGACTCGATTTAAGAAATATTTTAACGATATCGTGAGTAGCCTTGCAAATTTTTTATCGCTTATTTTGATATTGTAAATGAAATCGCAAGTATTGTGCGATGTGTGTTTTGTTATTTAGCTTTTCGAACGATTGAAGGAAGAACAGAAAGATGTCGAAAAGAAGATCGTTTTAATAGAAAGCGATATGAATGAATTGAATTTAGGAATGTCAGGAAAAGACAGCGAACGTATTAAAGATACTGAAGTGATTTTTCACTGCGCAGCATCGGTACGTTTCAATGATACACTTCGTTCCATAATTAATGTAAACGTCAGAGGAACGAGAGATCTCCTTTTGCTTGCACGAGAGATGCCGAATTTGAAGGTACTTTCTTCTATTGACACGAATCGCATATACATTCGCGTATCGAATCGGAAAGGAATCAACTTATTTTACATTAACTTTACTAGAACGTTTATCGTTACAATACATTTTACTATTGATGCAATATATTTTAGGTTTTTACCTATGTGTCAACGGCATATTCGCAATGCATTTATGAAAGAATCGAAGAGAAATATTACAATCCAGCGTTAAAGACTGAAGACATAATAAAATTGACGGAGACTTTGAACGATGATCAATTGGACTTAATCACGCCAGAGTAATGTGACGAGGTCACATTCGCTTATTTTTCCTTTATTCTAATTCGATCAGCATTATCATTCATGTTGCAGGTTACTCGGAAAATGGCCCAACACTTACACTTACTCAAAAGCAATTTGTGAAGACACTGTACGGCAATATTCAAGAGGATTTCCGACTTCGTCCATCCTCTGTTTTGGCAACGGAAAAAGATCCGATTCCCGGTTGGACAAATAATCTCTACGGATTGACTGGCATCGCGTTAAGTATTGCTTTGGGTATAGTACGTGTGATGAATTTAGATACGAAATTGGTACACGACATTTTCCCGCTGATTATGTAGTCAACAATATCATCGTGTCAACATGGGACACCGCGAAAAAAAGGTGCGATCTGTTTTCTTTCTTTTTTGATTTATTTCAAAAAGAAAAGTTTAATTCTATATTTTGCATAGTATTTACAACAAATTAAATAATATTTTTTATCGTAGATCTATATCATCGGTTATTACTAATTTCAATAATGATGACAAGTCCTTAACAGTTGACGCGGAAGAGATTCCAATTTATAATATCGTCTCCTATGTTGAAAATCCAGTGAAATGGAATTACTGTATATTAAAATTGTTGGAAATTTATTCTATTGTACCATATAGAAAATGCTTGTGGTATTCCTTTTTTTTACCATTAACAAATGAATACTTTGTCTATTTATGCATAATTTTACTTCACTGGATACCAGGATTTATAGTCGATTCACTACCTTTTCTCGTCGGTAGCAAACCAAGGTAATACTGGCCGATATCTAGATGCTTCAAGCGACGATGTAGCGTTTCATTATGATTGAAACGCAAACTCTTTTTCAGGTTATTAAATATTTATAGAAGGATGCATAAATTGACCAATGTGATGAATTTCTTTGCAACACATCAATGGGAATTCACTAATGATAATGTTTTGAAGCTATGGAATAAACTATCTGTTGTCGATAAGAATAAATTCTTCTTTAATATTAGCGATCTCGACTGGGATTCTTATTTTCTAACGTATTGTAAAGGAGTTCGAGTATTTGTGCTAAATGATCCTTTGGAGACGGTAAACGATGCTAAAATTTTGCATGAAAGGTAAATGTGTTATTATTTTTTACCTTTTATATTTTCACTTGTTTTTCGTTGTTTTTTAAACAATTTTCATTGTTTGTTTAAGTTTGTATCGTCATTTTTATTATTTAACAATTTCAGATTGCGAATAATTCATTATACGACGGGAATTTTGCTATTAATTTTGTTACTTTGGGATCTTTATTTGTTATTACAGTTTCTTTATACATCTTTATTTTCCTTCTGTGGAATTAAAAATATGAAAGGACGCAAGAATGTAACGGGATAGAAACTGATCCTCGATTTAAGATTGATTGAATAAATTTTTTTTTTTGGTGATGGTGATGTAGAGTTAATTTTGAATTTTTCCACCTTTCTATTTGTCTATTCTCTAGAACTTTATGAATTTGTCGATCTAAAGATGGAACTAGTTCGTAATAGTTTGTGGCTTTTGTCGTTGACAACACACTATGTAGAGAGAAACTTAACATATCAAGTAACAATTGTGACATTTATTTTATTGTTGCTGTACAGCGAGTATAATCTGTTTATGATTTCTAGGAGCTTTGGCTATAATGTATAAAGGAGTCGAAGAAATAATAAATGATTTCTCTTGTGTTTCCTGCGTTTTTGTCGTCTTTGTTGTTTTTGGTTCTTTTCTTGTCTTTAATTTGATTTGATTGGTTTTCTGCATATGTACTTAATAACGTCGTGGCGTATTAGTGATGTGTCTTGCCGAAGGAGACATAATATTCGCGATGAGGTTGCCACATGTTCTTATAACGATTTATAATTTATGTATGATTATTTGAATTTTCGTTCAATATTTCATTATTTCAGAATATTTATATATCATATTTCAGAACGAAATATTTCGTTCAATATTTCGTTCAATAATAACACTAAATTGTAATCAGATTACAAATTTTTTTAATAATATATAGTTTAATATGTGATAGCATTTTTATATAATTATATAAAAGTATCTCATGAGGTATTGTTAACATTTTTAAAATATTGATGCGTCTATATTGCGTTATCATGATGACTTTCAATTTTTGCGGAATAATAAACGAAAACTTCTATAGAGATCTATTTATATCTAATGTATAGTTCGAAATTGCATATGCATTAATATGGTAATGTTCATTGCGCATATACTTGTTTCTTATATATAGGAGTTACCTCAAGTACTTTCAGTTTGAAATCAACCGCTGTGTAAATCCGATTAGAAGAAGAAAAATCCTTTTAATTGAAGATAAGTAAAATTACTTCATACATCATATGAATTTCGATGTTAAGAAAATATGTAATTTCTGATAAAATTTCAAATTTTAATAGACAGCTAAGAATGCCATATAATATTATTTAATAAAAATTAGAGTATTATAGTTTTATTTATGTTAGATAAATATATTAAGTTTATTCACTTCCGATTGCCTTTTATATTAACGAAAATATGTGAAATGGTGTTCCCAACTTAAATTTTCATCGGAATAAAATTCGAAAGTACGTAAAATATTATTTAAATTTCTAAATATGTTGAATTTTTGGAAAAACAGTAAAAAATTATGGCTTCCAGAGTATCACAAAAATTTATTGAAAAACACATCAGAAACGGTATTCTTAATATTTTTTAATTATATAAAGGCATTCTTTTTCAATAATAAATACAATTACTATTGTTCTGCGTTATTCATCATAAAAAAATAATTTGAAATTAATTCAAATCCAAATTCTCCAATATATCTGAATACAATAAATATATAACTAAAACCATTTTCATAAGCACCGATTCATAAATGCATAGAGAAGTGCGTTTAAATCCATTTTTTCATTTTATTTGTCAATTTACTCCTAAGATTGATTGTTATTATTTTTTATCAAATGATTATTATTATTAAATCAAGATTTTTACATAAATCCATGTGTTAATGTTTTTTACATATAAAATTATTAATTTTTGGTCACATGTAAAATTATTTTCTTTCTACTTCATAAAAAATAGAACCGAAAGATGACTTCGTTGGACGCCCAAGCATATAAGGAAAGGAACATGTTTTCTACGGTAGACGAATCGAATTATTTTAATCAAGAAAGCGAAGTTTCTGAGTTTTTCTCTGGACGAAAAATACTGATAACAGGAGGTTCTGGATTTTTGGGACGACTTATACTGGAAAAACTTTTGAGGTAGAAACGATCGTATTTTTATTTTCCTATCGCGGTAATATATCTCCGATTACATTATTTTTCCAATTTATCGTTAGGTTTACGAATATTTATTAAATGACCTTTCATGACCAAAGTAATTAATTCATTACTGAAGCATATGAATAGATGATATGCTTTTTATTTTGCCATGAGCGAGTCATTGAGCAACATTATATTTTTTTTTCGTGAATCCTTTCGATTATGGACTAGTAGTATTGTTTTCTCCAATTCTAAAAACAATAAAGCAGGTATCCTCTTTTTTTTTTAACGAATTGAAGATTAATTAGAGATGCAACGATTAAATATATATACATTTGCTTTTTCGGAGAAGTGCTTTGTAAACTAGTAAAGAAATTTCACAATCTCAGAATATTGTAGAATGAATTCGTAACCAAGATCAAACATAAGATATCTATTTTCCTCTTAAATATCAGCCTCGAAGGAAAAGGAAATATTAAGAATATCTCTTAACAGATATACGTATACCCTCTTATTATTTCTTAATTATCTATTTTTTCTGTATTCCTCAACTATCCCACAAAAGTATAAACGCTCGAACAACTACCCCGATGTTTTATTTTTACATGGATTTATTTTACATGAGAAAGTTTCTATGAACGTATTGTTAAAATTCATAGATCATGTCCAAAAATTGAAAGGATTTATTTATTGATGAGAGGAAAGAAACAGAAGGATATGCAGACTCGATTTAAGGAATATTTTAACGATATCGTGAGTAGCCTTGCAAATTTTTTATCGCTTATTTTGATATTGTAAATGAAATCGCAAGTATTGTGCGATGTGTGTTTTGTTATTTAGCTTTTCGAACGATTGAAGGAAGAACAGAAAGATGTCGAAAAGAAGATCGTTTTAATAGAAAGCGATATGTATGAATTGAATTTAGGAATGTCAGGAAAAGACAGCGAACGTATTAAAGATACTGAAGTGATTTTTCACTGCGCAGCATCGGTACGTTTCAATGATACACTTCGTTCCATAATTAATGTAAACGTCAGAGGAACGAGAGATCTCCTTTTGCTTGCACAAGAGATGCCGAATTTGAAGGTACTTTCTTCTATTGACACGAATCGCATATACATTCGCGTATCGAATCGGAAAGGAATCAACTTATTTTACATTAACTTTACTAGAACGTTTATCGTTACAATACATTTTACTATTGATGCAATATATTTTAGGTTTTTACCTATGTGTCAACGGCATATTCGCAATGCATTTATGAAAGAATCGAAGAGAAATATTACAATCCACCGTTAAAGACTGAAGACATAATAAAATTGACGGAGACTTTGAACGATCATCAATTGGAATTAATCACGCCAGAGTAATGTGACGAGATCACATTCGCTTATTTTTCCTTTATTCAAATTCGATCAGCATTATCATTTATGTTGCAGGTTACTCGGTAAATGGCCCAACACTTACACTTACTCAAAAGCAATTTGTGAAGACACTGTACGGCAATATTCAAGAGGATTTCCGACTTGCATCGTTCGTCCATCCTCTGTTTTGGCAACGGAAAAAGATCCGATTCCCGGTTGGACAAATAATCTCTACGGATTGACTGGCATCGCGTCATGTATTGGTTTGGGTATAATACGTGTAATGAATTTAAATACGAAATTGGTACACGACATTATTCCCGCTGATTATGCAGTCAACAATATCATCGTGTCAACATGGGACATCGCGAAAAAAAGGTGCGATCTGTTTTCTTTCTTTTTTGATTTATTTCATAAAGAAAAGTTTAATTCTATATTTTGCATAGTATTTATAACAAATTGAATAATAATTTTTATCGTAGATCTATATCACCGGTTATTACTAATTTCAATAATGATGACAAGTCCTTAACAGTTGACGCGGAAGAGATTCCAATTTATAATATCGTCTCCTATGTTCAAAATCCAGTGAAATGGAGTTACTGTGTATTAAAATTGTTTGAAATTGAATCTATTGTGCCACTTAGAAAATGCTTGTGGTATCCTTTTTTTTTACCATTAACAAATGAATACTTTGTCTATTTATGCATAATTTTACTTCACTGGATACCAGGATTTATAGTCGATTCACTAGCTCTTCTCGTCGGTAGGAAACCAAGGTAATTTTGGCCGATATCTAGATGCTTCAAGCGACGATGTAGTGTTTCATTATGATTGAAACGCAAACTCTTTTTCAGGTTATTAAATATTTATAGAAAGATACATAAATTGACCAATGTGATGAATTTCTTTGCAAGAAACCAATGGGAATTCACTAATGATAATGTTTTGAAGCTATGGAATAAACTATCTGTTGTCGATAAGAATAAATTCTTCTTTAATATTAGCGATCTCGACTGGGATTCTTATTTTCTAACGTATTGTAAAGGAGTTCGAGTATTTGTGCTAAATGATCCTTTGGAGACGGTAAACGATGCTAAAATTTTGCATGAAAGGTAAATGTGTTATTATTTTTTACCTTTTATATTTTCACTTGTTTTTCGTTGTTTTTTAAACAATTTTCATTGTTTGTTTAAGTTTGTATCGTCATTTTTATTATTTAACAATTTCAGATTGCGAATAATTCATTATACGACGGGAATTGTGCTATTAATTTTGTTACTTTGGGGTCTTTATTTGTTATTACAGTTTCTTTATACATCTTTATTTTCCTTCTGAGGAATTAAAAATATGAAAGGACGCAAGAATGTAACGGGATAGAAACTGATCCTCGATTTAAGATTGATTGAATAAATTTCTTTTTTGGTGATGGTGATGTAGAGTTAATTTTGAATTTTTTCGCCTTTCCATTTGTTGATGATTCAATATTACTATATCAATTTGTCTACATAAAGATGGTACCAGTTCGTAGCGCTTCCCTTATTCATTTATTATTTATGTATAATTATCTGAACTTTTGCCTAATATTTAAATTTATTTGCGGATATAATGATCAGAATAAGTTAACATTAAATTGTAATAACATTACAAAATTTATTAATAAAATATATTTCAATATGAGATAGCGTTTTTATATAATTATATAAAAGTATTTCATAATATATTGTTAATGTTTATAAAATACTTATGTGTCTATCTTCTGTTGTCATGATGACTATGTTAATTTTGAAGGTAAAAAAATAACAATACTTCTATAAAGATCTATTTTAAGCTGATGAATTATGTATGAAAATTACGAAAATATATGTGCATTGTTATTATGAAGTCTGTTCTCGATATGTATATTTCCTTTATATAGCGCTTACGAAAGCAATGTCAGTCAGAAATCAACCGAACAGTAAGTAGGTTTAAAAATCTTTTAATTAAAGGTAAGTTAAAATTACTTCATACATCATATGAATTTCGATGTTAAGAAAATATGTAATTTCTGATAAAATTTCAAATTTTAATAGACAGCTAAGAATGCCATATAATATTATTTAATAAAAATTAGAGTATTATAGTTTTATTTATGTTAGATAAATATATTAAGTTTATTCACTTCCGATTGCCTTTTATATTAACGAAAATATGTGAAATGGTGTTCCCAACTTAAATTTTCATCGGAATAAAATTCGAAAGTACGTAAAATATTATTTAAATTTCTAAATATGTTGAATTTTTGGAAAAACAGTAAAAAATTATGGCTTCCAGAGTATCACAAAAATTTATTGAAAAACACATCAGAAACGGTATTCTTAATATTTTTTAATTATATAAAGGCATTCTTTTTCAATAATAAATACAATTACTATTGTTCTGCGTTATTCATCATAAAAAAATAATTTGAAATTAATTAAAATCCAAATTCTCCAATATATCTGAATACAATAAATATATAACTAAAACCATTTTCATAAGCACCGATTCATAAATGCATAGAGAAGTGCGTTTAAATCCATTTTTTCATTTTATTTGTCAATTTACTCCTAAGATTGATTGTTATTATTTTTTATCAAATGATTATTATTATTAAATCAAGATTTTTACATAAATCCATGTGTTAATGTTTTTTACATATAAAATTATTAATTTTTGGTCACATGTAAAATTATTTTCTTTCTACTTCATAAAAAATAGAACCTAAAGATGACTTCGTTGGACGCCCAAACATATAAGGAAAGGAACATGTTTTCTACGGTAGACGAATCGATTTATTTTAATCAAGAAAGCGAAGTTTCTGAGTTTTTCTCTGGACGAAAAATACTGATAACAGGAGGTTCTGGATTTTTGGGACGACTTATACTGGAAAAACTTTTGAGGTAGAAACGATCGTATTTTTATTTTCCTATCGCGGTAATATATCTCCGATTACATTATTTTTCCAATTTATCGTTAGGTTTACGAATATTTATTAAATGATCTTTCATGACCAAAGTAATTAATTCATTACTGAAGCATATGAATAGATGATATGCTTTTTATTTTGCCATGAGCGAGTCATTGAGCAACATTATATTTTTTTTTCGTGAATCCTTTCGATTATGGACTAGTAGTATCGTTTTCTCCAATTCTAAAAACAATAAAGCAGGTATCCTTTTTTTTTTTAACGAATTGAAGATTAATTAGAGATGCAACGATTAAATATATATACATTTGCTTTTTCGGAGAAGTGCTTTGTAAACTAGTAAAGAAATTTCACAATCTCGGAATATTGTAGAATGAATTCGTAACCAAGATCAAACATAAGATATCTATTTTCCTCTTAAATATCAGCCTCGAAGGAAAAGGAAATATTAAGAATATCTCTTAACAGATATACGTATACCCTCTTATTATTTCTTAATTATCTATTTTTTCTGTATTCCTCAACTATCCCACAAAAGTATAAACGCTCGAACAACTACCCCGATGTTTTATTTTTACATGGATTTATTTTACATGAGAAAGTTTCTATGAACGTATTGTTAAAATTCATAGATCATGTCCAAAAATTGAAAGGATTTATTTATTGATGAGAGGAAAGAAACAGAAGGATATGCAGACTCGATTTAAGGAATATTTTAACGATATCGTGAGTAGCCTTGCAAATTTTTTATCGCTTATTTTGATATTGTAAATGAAATCGCAAGTATTGTGCGATGTGTGTTTTGTTATTTAGCTTTTCGAACGATTGAAGGAAGAACAGAAAGATGTCGAAAAGAAGATCGTTTTAATAGAAAGCGATATGAATGAATTGAATTTAGGAATGTCAGGAAAAGACAGCGAACGTATTAAAGATACTGAAGTGATTTTTCACTGCGCAGCATCGGTACGTTTCAATGATACACTTCGTTTCATAATTAATGTAAACGTCAGAGGAACGAGAGATCTCCTTTTGCTTGCACGAGAGATGCCGAATTTGAAGGTACTTTCTTCTATTGACACGAATTGCATATACATTCGCGTATCGAATCGGAAAGGAATCAATTTATTTTACATTAACTTTACTAGAACGTTTATCGTTACAATACATTTTACTATTGATGCAATATATTTTAGGTTTTTACCTATGTGTCAACGGCATATTCGCAATGCATTTATGAAAGAATCGAAGAGAAATTTTACAATCCACCGTTAAAGACTGAAGACATAATAAAATTGACGGAGATTTTGAACGATGATCAATTGAACTTTATCACGCCAGAGTAATGTGACGAGATCACATTCGCTTATTTTTCCTTTATTCAAATTCGATCAGCATTATCATTTATGTTGCAGGTTACTCGGTAAATGGCCCAACACTTACACTTACTCAAAAGCAATTTGTGAAGACACTGTACGGCAATATTCAAGAGGATTTCCGACTTGCATCGTTCGTCCATCCTCTGTTTTGGCAACGGAAAAAGATCCGATTCCCGGTTGGACAAATAATCTCTACGGATTGACTGGCATCGCGTTAAGTATTGCTTTGGGTATAGTACGTGTAATAAATTTAGATACGAAATTGGTACACGACATTATTCCCGCTGATTATGTAGTCAACAATATCATCGTGTCAACATGGGACACCGCGAAAAAAAGGTGCGATCTGTTTTCTTTCTTTTTTGATTTATTTCAAAAAGAAAAGTTTAATTCTATATTTTGCTTAGTATTTATAACAAATTAAATAATAATTTTTATCGTAGATCTATATCATCGGTTATTACTAATTTCAATAATGATGACAAGTCCTTAACAGTTGACGCGGAAGAGATTCCAATTTATAATATCGTCTCCTATGTTCAAAATCCAGTGAAATGGAATTACTGTATATTAAAATTGTTGGAAATTTATTCTATTGTACCATATAGAAAATGCTTGTGGTATCCCTTTTTTTTACCATTATCAAATGAATACTTTGTCTATTTATGCATGATTTTACTTCACTGGACACCAGGATTTATAGTCGATTCACTAGCTTTTCTCGTCGGTAGCAAACCAAGGTAATACTGGCCGATATCTAGATGCTTCAAGCGACGATGTAGTGTTTCATTATGATTGAAACGCAAACTCTTTTTCAGATTATTAAATATTTATAGAAAGATGCATAAATTGACCAATGTGATGAATTTCTTTGCAACACATCAATGGGAATTTACTAATGATAATGTTTTGAAGCTATGGAATACACTATCTGTTGTCGATAAGAATAAATTCTTCTTTAATATTAGCGATCTCGACTGGGATTCTTATTTTCTAACGTATTGTAAAGGAGTTCGAGTATTTGTGCTAAATGATCCTTTGGAGACGGTAAACGATGCTAAAATTTTGTATAAAAGGTAAATGTCTTATTATTTTTTACCTTTTATATTTTCACTTGTTTTTCGTTGTTTTTTAAACAATTTTCATTGTTTGTTTAAGTTTGTATCGTCATTTTTATTATTTAACAATTTCAGATTGCGAATAATTCATTATACGACGGGAATTGTGCTATTAATTTTGTTACTTTGGGGTCTTTATTTGTTATTACAGTTTCTTTATACATCTTTATTTTCCTTCTGAGGAATTGAAAATATGAAAGGACGCAAGAATGACACAGGATAGAAACTGATCCTCGATTTAAGATTGATTGAATAAATTTCTTTTTGGTGATGGTGATATACTGTTAATTTTGAAATTTACCGCCTTTTGATTTATCGACCATTCATTCTTTACTTTACGATTTTGTGTGTCGAAAGATGTGAAATTTTGGAATGATTCGCTTATCTATATATTATTTATGAATCGATTTTTGAATGTTATGTGACACATAATTTTTCTGACAAATATAGTATTTATGTTAGTTTCATGTTTCATATTAATTATTAATATTAAAAATTCTTTAATATAATATCTTTCAATATGTGATGTGACCTTTTTTATATGATTCTACTAATTTAAATCTTCATTAAATTATTGCAGCAAATAAATATGCGTTATGTAAGTTATATATATACATATACATATATACAGTAATAATTTTTCTTTTTCATCGATACAGTTGTGCGGCAGGATCATACGGAGTTTTAAAAAAGGAAAGGAAAGAAACAAATAAATAAATAAAAGAAATAAGGACCTGTCGTCCACACAAATCGAGATGGCGTTTATGATAATTTCAGGTTTGCTTGATATCGAAGATTCCCGACGCAAACGCATAGTTTTGCGAGAAGGAGAGAAGAGAAGAAGAACCGTGCCGTCGAGGATGATCGGAAAAAAATGATTGAACCTCTTGCGTACCTGCTACGTTCTTCGACCTATCGAGGTCGCGTGTCGCGACCTCGTCGTACGTGGCTCCATTACCTAAGACACCGCTCGTGCCTTCAGATTCCCGTACGTCGCTAAGACAGAAAGAGAAAGAGAAAAAGAAAGAGGATAGATTAGGATTCTCTTCCTCGTATACAGTACGTTTTATCGAGAGGTAACGCTTATACGATTTTCGATATTCTAGTCGACAATACTTTCCGATCAACCATTAGAATTTTCATTCGTACGAAGGAAAACATGTTTTTAAAAGTATTTTAAAATCAGTCAGTCAATCTGTCAGTCAGTCAGTCAGTTCGGAGTTTAACATAGAACGAAGCAATTATCGAAGGAGGTGTTTTCTTAAGAAAATTTTTTGGATCTCGCGATAGTATTCGAACGTAGGCGTCTTTGTCTTCGTTAGACAACGGTTCTGTTTCTCCAAGGCGTGGCCATTGATTTGTCTACATCCCGGTCACACCGTAGAAAAAGCGTTGGATCGATTCCGCTACGAAAGTCTTGGATAGTGACACCCACATCTACGGCCTTCGGCGATCGATCGATCTAGAGAGAGAGAGAGAGAGAGAGAGAGAGAGAGAGAGAGAGAGAGAGAGAGAGAGAGAGATTCTTTGTTCCTTCGTCATCGAACATCACCATTCGATCTCTCGCTGCTTTTTCAACTGTTTTCTTATATTCTATATCTATATTCCTTCGACGTTTTCGTTGGTGTAGATTTGTATCTCGAAAAGTTATATCCTTCAAAGAGAGGAAAAAAAGGACAAGAAAAACAAAAAAAAGAAGAGAAAAAACGAAAAAAGTAACAAAAAAGAAAAAATAACGAATATTCGCAGGCCATGCCAGTCGCGTTGTCAGGCGCGAGACGGACGCTCTCAGGGACAGACAGGAAATCAACCGTCAGAATGACGTCCGTACATCGTCGGCACTCGCGATGCACTCAATTTAAAAGTTCCACGCTCGGATATACCGACAGCTTGTCGGAACTTTTACAGAACGAATGCCAGAATAAGGAAGAAGGTTGCATAGCTAGATAGGATAGGATAGGATAGGATAGGATAGGATAGGATAGGTAGGTAGGTATTCGATAAAAACGCCGCAATGCGCGAACATTATCTTTCAGCCGTTGAAATAAACGATTCCGTAGGTGAACTTATTCGGCCATGTAAATATACGAATGAAATTGCTATATTGATTTGTTCTTTCTTTTCTTATTTTTTTTTTTATTTTCATTTTCTCTCCTTTCATATTTTTTCCCCTCTCTTTCTTCACTCTTCGACTTACACGATTTATTCTTTCGATTGGTAATACGAAGAAAAAAAAAATTAAAAAAGGAAAAGCACTTTTTCTGGAATAGTTCGATGAGACGATCGATTGGACAAAAAGGGAAAAACCCGACGTCGCGGCCACCGGCTACGGTCGGTGTTGGCTGTAATAAGAAGACGAAGAGAAATACGGGAGGGCCGATACACGGGCGAACGGCCTCGCGCACCGACGAGGAGAGTTGTACGGAGGATCTCGTGAACCAACCGGCGATCGAGGAAGGCAGTGCACGCCCGGCCGCCGAGACGAGTGGATGGTTGTAGCTCGTGCTCTGAAACGTAGGATAGACAGATCGTGTATATAGAAGCTTTTCACACAAAAAGAAGGAAAGACAGAAAAAAAAGAAACGAACTGTCAATATTCCTAGGTAGATAAAATTATATAGAGAGCGAATGACAGAGAGAGAGAGAGAGAGAGAGAGAGAGAGAGAGAGAGAGAATGTGAATGCAGTGATTTTCTTTAGGGATAGGACAAGAGAGAGAGAGAGAGAGAGAGAGAGAGAGAGAGAGAGAGAGAGAGACAGAGATAAAGATAGATAGATAGATAGATAGACACTTAGATAGAGCGAGAGAGAGAGAGAGAGAGAAACAAGGGGGTTGGAGCGCGTGGCGATCAGCTGATCGTCGGGTGTACTGTCTCGTCGGCCGTAAGAAAGAGGAAGTGGTGAATGCTCTTTGAACTCTATTGGCAGCGGAGAGACAGAAGATGCGGTCGGAAGGTCCCCTTGGCACGTAATGTCCGCGGCGCTCGCGCCAAGAAGGAGCGCGTACGTCGAGAGAGCGTCGACGCCGGCAGTCGGCGGTGATCGGTGCTCGAAGAGCGTCGTCGCCGGCGCGGTGCGTGCTGCAAGTGCTGCTGGTGCTGCTGCTGGTGCTGCTGCTGCTGCTGCTGCTGCTGCTGCTGCTGCTAGTGGTGGCAGTGGTGGTGCAAGTGGTGGTGGTTGTCCTGCTGGTAGTGGTGGAGGCGGAGGTGGAGGTGGCGGAGGGAGAGGGAGAGGGGGAGGGGGAGGAAGGTGGTGGTGGTGGTGGAGAAGGAGGAGGAAGAAGAGAAGGAGGAGGAGGAGGAGGAGGAGGAGGAGGAGGAGGCGGTGGAGCCACGCGAACTCGTCGGCGAGCGTTCGACGAGCCAACGCCGCCGTTCCGAAGTGCGTCGCGAGGCGTGCTACGCTTGAAATCGAAACGAGAAGACCACCTCGACCACGAGAAACACGCTCCTCGTCGTTCTCTCTCTCTCTCTCCGCACGCTCGGACCAGAAAGAGAGTTTGGCACGCGCGACCACCGAGAGAGAGAGAGAGAGAGAGAGAGAGAGAAAGAGAGAGAAAACAGAAAACAGAAAACAGAGAGAGACGCCCCGTCGAGGGCGCGCGTTCGCACCTTCTTCTCTTCTTTATTCTTCGTCTTCGTTGTCTCCGTCATCCTCTTCGAGGATCAATCGAGGATTCTTCCTTCTTTCGCGAGTCGAGGCCCGCTCGAAGGACCGTCGATCGACGGGGTCCTCGCGTACGTTTTCTCTAAAACCGATATCGAAACATAGACACATAGATAGAGAGAAAGAAAGGAAGAGAGAGAGAGAGAGAGAGAGAGAGAGAGAGAGAGAGAGAGAGAGGAAGAGAGAAAGATAGAAAGACGTGTGACCGTTTGTAGTGCAGTGCCTCGTCCATGTGAACACGATGACAACCACTATTATTACTATTAGTACTACTATTGTTGCTACTATTAGGATGACGACAAAGACGACGACGTTTTGCTTGCTCACGCGGAAAGTCTGTGATAGTCGATGACAGCGACGCCATTGCTCGGATTAAACGGACACAGACGGCCGAGGATCGTGTTCCGGGAATCGTCTTGATTGGAAGATCCGGTGAGTGCGTTTACGATTTATCGATCTATCGATCCTACCGCGAAAGTGTATTTTCCTTTTGTTTTTGTTCTTTCTATTCGCTCGTGAAAAATTTGTGATATTTTGTGCGTTACTTATTATTCACGTGTGAAGTGCATCTACTGCTTTCAGAGAAACTGTCAGTTTATTATTATCATTTTTTTTTCCTTTTATTAAGCTTTAGTAAGGATTATGAATCCGGATGTGCGAGTTACCGGACGAGGAAACAGGTGCGATCGTTTTTTATTGTCTCAAACGGAATCCTTTATTCGCAAGATTCTCACGAGAACTCGACGAATTTCGCGGGAAGAACTCGTATTATATCGAATTACTAGATTCGTGTTTCTTATTTTCTTCGACTTTATGTCCCTTTCATTGAATCGATTTAAATCAAACGTCAAGAATCATTTTCAATTCATTCGAAAAAATCAGAAGTAATCGCACGAATCGCGTTACGAGTCTTACGGTCGACGAACCTCTATCGATCTTTAGTTTCTATCTACCTTCTTCTACGTTCGTAATTTCTTGTCACACAAGAACACAATTTGAAAACGATAATCGCGAATGATGATCGATATTATCAAACGTCTTCAAATCTATTCGAATACAAGCTTTACTATCGTCGTCGTTGTCGTATTGTAGTCGTTTCGATTTCTTCTTCACGGTATTTATCCTTAAAGTCACTAGATCGTAACGGCAAAACAATCTAGAGACACCACCGTTCCAACAAAATTATTATTATTATTATTATTATTATTTTTTTTTTCTTTCTTTTTTCTTTTACAAATATAACGCGAACTAGCAAGAATGAGTTTCGAGTCTATTAGCTGCTGTGAGAAACGAGCTTTCACGATTCCACGATTATCTTAATAACGAATATCTTATACTCTATGTTCGACGTATTGCAATGAAATATCGTAGCTTATAGAGAAACTTGCATGAAATTCTTTGACCAAGCACACGTACATACATTTATTCGAAACAATTCATCAATAATTTTCCCTTTTTTTTTCGGGTATTCTTTTCTTCTTTTTTTTTTATATATGTATTTTTTGTTTATTTCTTTTTCCTTTTCTTTTATTTTTCTTTTTATTCTTCTCGCGAATTACTTGAAAGCGAGGAAGCGAGACGGTAAACGAGATAAAATGGAAAATGCGTAACGCGGTTATTGATAAACGCTATGCGTCACTAACCACGATCGATAATAAATAAGCAGCGCCCGCATAGTGCAGGTAGAAAAGTGTCCGATAAGACAGCCGGCAACCGGCTCTAAGCGACGCGACGCTTCAAGCAGCCACCGTCCTCCTTGTCGTAGAACTCCGCGATAGGCTTATCGACGTTATGCTTCTTCTCATCAATTTTTTATTGTAGTACCTACTTTTTTTCCTTTTTTCTTTCTTTTTATTTTTTCTTCTCTTTTCTTTTTTTCTTTTCTTTTCTTTTCTTTTCATCCTTTCTCCTCGACAATTCTGACCCAATATATATATATATATATATATATATATATATATATATATGTATATATATATAATATAAAAATTATCTCGAAATCATTCTCAAATGGAATTTATTCATTCTCGAAACGATTATTCATTTATTGTGTAGGAAAGGAAAGAGAAGAGAGATACGTGGTCGGGCATTGACACGAACGGTGTCCTTCCTCGATGGATATCGTGGCTTAATTTGCGGTTACCTTCTTCTTAATTTGGTTTTACCAAATGAATAACGTTTTCCAGTGGCATTAGTATGGTATAGAGAGAACGAGAAAGAGATAGACAGATAGATAGATAGATAGATAGATAGATGGAGAGAGAGAGAGAGAGAGAGAGAGAGAGAAAGGCAGGGCAAAAGGGTTATTAGTCAGTTGCAGTTATTTCATTTACTAGTCGCGTTCTTCTCAGTGGTATATTACCAGTTGTTATTCCTTTATGAGGGACTTGCGACAAAGCTCGGCCTCCACTTAGATCTGAAAAGTTTATGAAAAGTTATTGTTAATCTACGTAGAAATGATACTTTCAAGCCAATTTGATTTTACTCTTTTTTTTTTTCTTTCTTTTTTTTCTTTCTTTTTTTTCTTTTTTTTCGGACAAGCTTTAACATAAAAGCTTGGTATTATTGAAAGATATTTCATCTTCTGTAATGTATTACGTTCTATCGCACGGAATTAAGAATTAAAAATGATGGGCTCAAGCGCTTTTAACGGTGACTTAAACTTTACCAATGATTTTTCGCCGAGAGAAAAAGATGCTACTCCGAGATAACGATAATTGCGTATTTAACATTTATTGTTCCTTAAAAGTTATACTAGTTAGAAAACATTGTGGAAATAGGTAGTTTATGATGGATTTAATAAACTCGTCCGATGTAATTTAAGAGAAACATTTAGTCGAACGTTGAAAACGAAGCTTATCGAATTCCGAAAGATTGATACGAGCGAATGCATCATCGGTAAGAGAGATGGAGAGATAGATGGATAAATAGATAGATTGAGAGAGAGGGAGAGAGAGAAATGTGTTTGAATGATGAAGAAAAGAGCTGTTCTTCGACTCGTTAACGGTTTTGACTATCCACCATGCGCTTTAATCTCAGCTGACCCAATTGCCACGACCTTTCCAGCCTATGGCTATGAGAACGTAGCTTCTTTTTGTGAGTTAGAGTCGCGTTAAACTCGGCCGTGGGCTATTTGAGTACCACCTAATTAAGCGACGCCAGTATAACTCCGTGATGAATTATCATTGTCCCTCAAAGTTCAGACTTGGCTTTCTTATCTGTCAAATCAGCTGATATATTAAATTGCGTCTCCTTCTCGTACCTTTTAACTCGGTCGAGACTCCAAAGAGAAACGAAGAGAGAGAGAAAGAGAGAGAGAGAGAGAGAGAGAGAGAGAGAGAGAGAGAGAGAGAGAAGAGAAATTTATAATCGCTGCGACACATACCCATGTAACCACGCACCTTGCGCATTCCACTTGATTAATGAACGACCCACCCGTTAAGTGTTTCATTAAACAACCTATGGTACATTGACAAACTTCGATCATCCATTTCTGCTTGATAATTTGTCTTTCGTATACTCGATCTATCAAGTGGTTGCGCGTGCATCCACGAGATCGCGTTTCTTCCGAGATCGAGCGAGATCACTTAAATGAGATCGATTACTGATAAAATCTTGAAGGCAATTGCTTCACGAATTTTCATTCTATAAGATGATCGATAATCTATCGATAGTTTTAAGTAACATTTAATGAAATTAACGACGACAATATTTTTCATCATTTTTAATTATATATTTTTATCGTAATAGAGTTTGCTAAATAATTTATATTCAATGAAATTTTAATCTCACAGGTAATATAATCGAGTGTACTTTTTTTCTTTTCCTTTTTATTCATTTTCGTATAAGGGACTCAATTTTCTAAAGTAGTTATCGAGTATCGAACAGGCGGATAATTGTTTGGGATAACAGGATTATTTTTAGGCAACAATCCAAATCTTCATGTTATTTGTTTCTTGGTGCGTTAGATGACGACGATGACTGGTATTTGAGATAGAAAAAGAAAGAGATAGAAAGAGCACGTGCTCTTTCTGGCCGACTCAGCTTCGTCGAAGCAGCCTCCTATCTTGTTGCCTGTCAGATTGTTGACATAGGCAGTGACACGTTTAATAGGATTATTTATGCTCCTAAAGGCGCTTAAACGGTCCCATGTTCGTATCGGCTTCATC